ATATATATATATTCATCTGGAGTTCTTGTAAACTTTAAGAACTGTCTCGGACATTAGAATGACAGTTCCCTAATTAAGTTAGTCCAAACCCCTGGACTATGATACCCCTGTCTTCAGCACCCTACCTCAGACAATCAATCCCGTTATTTTTATCTTCTTGCTCCTTTTTTAGCCTATCCCTCTGCTTTGGTAAAGTTTCCCCCAGTTGTTTTTGAGTATTGTTTCTTTTGATGCTATCTACAAAATACATAAAGATATATTAACATAGATTGGGTTTCCCCTAAATTGAATGCATAATTTAAAAATGTGCAAACCCTTACCTTTTGTTCTTACATCTAAACATACTTACTGTACCTCCTGATCTTTGAATGCTCGAACGATCAGGGATCTTTATTACTTTATTTCTCAGATGGAAAAGAACAAAGTGATCCTTACCTGGTGTTTTCTGTTTGCCTGTTCATAGCATGACTATGCCAAAGCCTATCAATTCAAAAGAGTTTGTAGATTTAACATAGAGCTTTTGAATGAATGAGTTTTTTGAGAGTGTTTAACTTCTATTTGCTACAGCAACCAGCTATTCACTGCTTAATTATTTCTGTGTTTTAATATGTATTCTTCCAGACCTCTGCATGCGGCCGTATGGTGCGAACGTCCTGACTGATTCCTAAATAGCTTGGTAGACTCTGCGTACACATTGACTCAAAAACAGTTCCTCTCATTAAAAGCGGATACCAGTGATGACTTGAGGTTTATTTCTGCGTTCAGACACAGGGGAGAGCTGAGGCCAGGACTCCTGAATGGCAACCTCAAGGCATATAAATCACCTGCAGTATGTGTGGAGTTTGATTACCACACCAGGGCTGGAACCACAAGGGCCCAGTGCTGAAAGATCAGCCAAGTTACCGACTTAAAACTGAGTCAATCAAGGCTGCTCCAGAACAAGCTGTGTGCTGATAAAACAGAGAAAACAACAGCTAGAGCATCCTTTAAAACAGGACATGGAGATAAGATGAGTAGCTTGGTGAAAGTCTTAGTGAAAGTAGCTGGGTGGTTTGGTTTTATTGTTCCAGTGAGTCGTAATTGACAGTGTGAGGGGTCATAAGTAGAAAGGGCTGCAAAAATAGTTAGCCCAACAGAAGGTCCCATTTCTCCAGAGCCAGTTGACAACACTTCTATTTATAGTGAGGATTGTCCTTGGGTATTTTTAAAAAAGATGTGTGTGTGTGTGTATCTGTGTGTAAAGCAGAAGAGGATGAGGATTTCTCAGAGAAGACAGGAAGAAGATCCTATTACAGCAGCAACCTCAGACACTGCTCGGCTCATGCGTCACGCCCGCCAGCTTATATCACTCCCCTCAAACCTTGTCCTCCGTCTCCCCCTTCGTACACTTAATGTCACACATTCCATGTAGCTTTGGGTTTGTCCGTAATCTTTTCCACTGAAGAAAATTATACACACACATCCTAGGTCTATTTTTATCCCACAGCAGGGTTTTAAGGTATAACTCGGTTGACTCCTTGTCTTGCTGCATGCCTTACAAGGACCCCCTCTGTGGACACCATCACTTAGCAACCGGCAGTGTTTACGCCTAAGCTGTGAAGGTCCCACGGCCGACCTCACTGCCCTTCAGCATCTTAATTACTAGCGCCGCCTTGTACCTTCCCACTCTTTTCGTCATTGGTGCCTTGATCCTCATGAGGTATCGTTCAGCAAAGAAAAAAAAACATAAATGTGGTGATAAAAGATGGAAATCTGAATAAATCCAGGGTGTCGCGTTTCCTTCTACTTTACAATAATCCAGCTCTGTATCCGGCTTCATCACATGCCATACCAATGAAATCTATGTTAACTGTAACTTGTAACATGAGTAAACGTGGGAAAACATCAAAGTGTATAAATACTTTTTGGAGAAATCCATTTCTGTACCACACAGAGATGTGTGTTACCTTTTCTTATTTAGGTTTTCTAGAATATAACTGGGTGCAGTTCAGTGATGGATGGATGACCACATCTTTCGCCAGTGACAGGGGTTAAGCACCAGCCCACCCCAACCCTGCCTGGTTAAGAGGGTATGGATGGATACCTCTAAGAGGACTTGGATATATTGCCAGGTGTTGATGTGGCTGTGTTATATCAGTGCAGGGATTCAGAGGTAAACATGTTTCACTGGCAGTTTTATTTAATTTAATTCCACCTTTTAAACTTTACCAGTAAAATGCTTATATGCACAATGTTTAGAGAGCTGGTTCAATGTTTACCCACTCGTCTTAGTAGGAGTTGGAGTTTAAACTGGTTAATCTTTCCAGGCCTTTCACATGTCCATTTAGGAGATTCTGCAGGACAATTCCCCCAAAAAAGCCTGTTTCAATTGTTTTTAATTCAAACATCTGAAATGGATGACTAAAACCAAACCACAAATAACCAATGGAATTAAAGCCAGTTTAACATCCACTTGAACAGAGAAAATGTGTCAGAATGAAAAACAGCTAATTAATCACTTACAGCTTCCACATCAGCTAAAATCTACAGATCCCCATGGGGAAAAGCCTAATGCTTCCCTGTCCGATAGGACAAATGTTGAGCTTATTGCTCTGAATGATAAGCAGAATGATTAATGGAGAAAAGAGAAGCTCCAAACCTGAGAAGAGTTAACCAATGGGGGAGTATGATGGTGGAAGCATCATGCTGAGGGCCTGTTTTGCTGCACATGAAAAGGCACGGCTACATTCAGGCTCTCCCAACGTTTTTCTAAGTTAGATGGATAAAATAAGAACACAGAACACATTAAAACTAGCTTTAAGCTGCTTCCAAATGAAGTCTAGTTTTAACCTCAGCCCTGCTGGAGTTGGTAAAAGTCAGGAAACTGATCACTTTTATTTAACAGCAGCATCTCGGAATATTTAATCAGAAACATGGCAGAAGTTAGTAAAAAAAAAAGGCCCTCTATGCAACTTGAGACATTCAGCAAAAGGTGGGGAAGTCTGAAAAAAAATGCAATATGATAAAAAATGTGTTAATTCAATGTCTTAACATAATCCTGATATGACTGAATTTACTGTATTCAGCTAGAAGTTGCCCTGGAAGTACAAATATGACAAAAAATAAAATGTTTTTAAAAAAAACATCTATCAAATTTAATACATTTAACCGATTTCTGCCATTTCCTTGAAATGGTGGTGAATTTTTTGTCAGTTTTTTTCATTACAAGCAGATATAAGGATCACTATAATTCACCTTGTTAGAAAAAAAAAAAACATGAACCGATTGTACCCTGACACCCAGCAATGCCATGAAGTCTAACAAAGTTCATTATCCCCCAGAGAGGCGTGTTGATCGGCTCACAGTGACAGAGAGCCGGGATAATGATGACAGGAACTGGGAGGATAGTGGATGGGCAGAAATGTCAAGGCCATTAGAGGGAGGTAGAGTGACATGTTGGAAGATAAGTAGGTATCTATGCAGTTTAAGGGGAAGATTTTCAGAACAGTAAGTGGTATAATTGAATTAATTAGAGCAATACTTAAATCTGTGCTTCCTAGTGGTTGCTGTAAAACCTTTTGCTGGGTAGAGCACAATGAACTATTTAAAAGCTTTTTCACAGAAATGTGGGCATAATCTACTTTTAGTGCACAAGTATTCATACCCCCTCTGTGCATTTTCAGTTTTTTTGTACTTGTGTGTATTTTGTGGGAATTTTATGTGATATTACAAACCAAAAAAATACATATTTAAGCAACATATTTTAGCTCTTTAAACTGTTACATATTTTAATAATCCAGAGCGACATCTAGTAGTGACAAACAGCATCTTAAAAGCCATGGATCATGGCAGACAGATCAGAGATAAAGTTCTGGGGAAGATTAAAGCAGGATAGCAGTACATTTTATATTATATATATATATATATATATATATATATATATATATATATATATATATATATATATATATATATATATATATATATATATATATATATATATATATACTGCTATCCTGCTTTAATATTGGTCTAAAGGAAGCCATACGAATTTGCACTCACACAAAACTACATCTCCCTGAGCACATCATCCCAACCATGAAACATTGTAGTGGCAGTATGATGGTATGGGAAAAAGCAGTGAAGCTGGTCAGAGTTGACTGATGGAAGTAAATACAGGAAAGTCAAGAAAACCTGTTAGACAATGAAAAACACGAAACTGGGACAGAAAGTTCACCTTCCAGTAGAACGACTGTAAACATGAAGCCCTACAATGAAAAAACCCCCCGGGTATTTGTCTGTTTTTTTAATTATTATTATTATTATTTTTTTATCAAAATAAAAATGCTATGTTTACTGTTGGTCATTAAAACTTATTGAAATACACATAAACTTTGTAATGTATAAAACCCCAAGGGATAAAACAGACTTATGCAAGGAGATCTAGAGAGTTTAGAATATTTAAAGCACACCACCTCAAAACAAAGATTTGAGAATATTTTTTTCTTTATTCTCAGATAACACAATAAACACAAGTGTGTCATGACGACACACTGCAGAATGAAAAACTCTTATTGCTCGCACAAAAGTACAAAAACCTTTCCGTCCATTTAGTTTTTCTCTCCACTTTCCTCAAACTATTGCATACAGAAATCCCATGTAATGACTTCAATGACACAGTTTTCTAGACATCTATCGCATTCTTATTTCTCCTGGAGGAATATAAAGCTCTGACTGTGAAATTTGGACATAAGTGATAAAAGAAATATATACATACATATATATTAAACAAGAATGAAATTTAAACTATAGCAATTTCCAGTTTTAAGCTATTTCCCCTGAAATGCTGGATCACAGTAAAAAGATTTCATAACAAAGCAGCAATATTTATCATACATGGAAATTTAAAAAATATCAAATAGTGTTTTAGCCCAAAATTTCTTCATATATAATTCTGAAGCTGAGAAGAAGACAAAACAGGTAAGCTCTGAAAGGAAGGCATTTTCCCCCCCTTTTTTTTTATTTTAAAAGCAAAATACCTATTTCTATTGAATCCTAAGCAGATAAAAAGAAACCCCAATTATCGCATATGGCATTAAAGAGAATTTTTCCAAGGTTTAAAATTACATGCAAAAATCTACAAGCAGCTGAAAGTTAGCTTTCAGCTTTCCTAACCTGAATCAAAGCGGTGGCAGCATTATGCTGTGGGGATACTTCTTTTCAACAGACACATGGAAGTTCTATAACGTTAATGGATGATGTAAGAAGTTACAAAAAGGGGGAAAACTTGAGTGGGGGGAAAAATAAAATAAAGATGCAGCACACAATGCATATAAATGTATTTCAAAAGTGTAAAATTGAACAAAAGTCAGAAAAAGAGTCTTCCTTTTATTCTAATAAAATTTTACATTTCCTTTAGACTTCTAATCTAATTTGCAGTATTTGCTCTATGTATCTCCAAAACATATCTGCATTCTTATAAGGTAAAATCATTTATATAGCAAGGCGGCATAAACAGACTATTTCTGTCTTTTATGATGTGTTATTAGAGAAAAACATGAAATAATTCATATTTCAATAAATCATTGTGGCTTACCTTTTAGGGCTGGAATAAAGATAATAAAGAGATATGTTTATTTCTTTTTAAACACTTTGCCCAAACCACTAAACCTACAGACACAGAAAGTTTTTTTTTAGGCTTTCATTTAACAAGTCACAAATTAAGAATTTGGTAAAAAAAAAAAAAAAAAAAAAAAAAATGGATAAAGTTGTTAACTGACTGATTGTCAAGCTGTTTGAGGTTTTTTTTGGACAGTGATTCATTAAAATCTGCAGCTCCTTCATATTCCCTCACGAGTCAAACAAACATGCTTGGTAAGACACACACTCAGAAAAAGAGAACTTAGATCTTTGTTTCATCGGCGTTTTTTATATATATATATCTTTATATATATTGTCTGGTTAGAAGAACATAAAAATAAACAGTATTATATATGGATTATAATAACATGAGGAATATTACTTAGAAGAATACTATTTTTTACAGAACAGCATTAACTCTTTATGGTGTACTTCTCTTTCATCATCATCGTAATAAAATACCTCTCTCTGATATCTCTTGGAAAGATTTCCAAAAATAAAAATGTGTGTTTCAGGGGAACTGAGGTGTCCTATAGGTTGCTGAAGAGCTCGTTTTTCTTGGTCCAATCCATGGGCGGGGCTCTCTTGTTGGAGCGTTTCTGGTGGGTGAGCTCTTTGACCTGCTGCAGGGTGAGGTTGAGAGCCGGGATGGCGTTTGTGACAAAACCCTGAATGGGAGATTAAAATGAAGAGGAAAATGTAAACATTCATGTCTGAAACAAGCTTGGCTTTAAGAGCTAAATCACATGTGGCCGACTCTTTTTTTTTTGTACCTCAGGTGGAGTGTTTGCACTCGGGGTTGTGAGGGAGGTGTTGGACGATGCGTTGGACGGCGAAGGACTTACTGAGAGCTTTGAGTTCCTCTCTGTTTCTTTGCTCACTCTCCCATTCACCTAAACAGGGACAAAGGTTTATCAATATCTCTTTATAATATTGAGCCAAAAATCTTTTACTTTATGCAGTAACATAAACTTAAAGAGTGTTGGCCTAGTGGGTTAGAGCAGTGTACTTGTGCTCTGAGGGGGTTCCAGGTACCCAGTTTTGATTCCCACAGCCTCAACTCTGTGTTCCTGAGGAAGACCCTTAACCCCTGATTGCTTCCTGGGCGCCACACAATACCAGCCCACTGTTCCCCAAGGGGATGGCTAAAATGCAGAGGTTAATTTATCCAATGGGAGATCAATAAAAACTCAATTATTATTATTATTAACATTAAATTTAATCAAAACAGCAGGCGTTTCATCCTTCTTGTAGTATCCAATTTAGCCACATGGGAGCAGAGTTGTGTTGGAGATAGAAAGATAAGCCTAATTTGGCACTGGATAAAAATATGTTTTTGTTAAAAATAATTAAAAAACATTAAAATAGAATAACTGGTACTGATAAGTTTAACATCAACTAAATGTTATATAGAATATTAACTATTATAATTAACTATTATAATAATTCTAAAGAATTTGATTCAAAATACCCTAATCTGTTTTCTTGTCAAAGAAACCTTTATTTGCTTTTTTTTATTGTCTAAACATCTCCAGCTCATTGTTCGTTAGCTTGTTAAAATGTTACAAATTTTACATTTTAATACGCTAAAATATTTAATCTTATGCCTGACCTACAGCTTTGTCCTCTTCTCTTCACGGCTCATCAGTGCTCGTTACACAACAATATGTGGAACAAGTACCTGGCCTGTTGCAGATAGCGTTCCTGAGTAACAGGAAGTGCTGGTTAGGTTTCACTCAGCCAATAATGGTCCGAATAAACAATGGAGTTACTCCTGTTCTAGAGTTTTCATCTAAAAATATACTGCCATTAAATGTAGTGCCTCCACGCTGTAACGGATGATTTATCCAGTGATGCAATATATGTGGAAAAACTGCAGATTTCAGAGCTTCTGTTTGTTTATGCAACACTAGGTTTTAAAGAAACGGTTTCACAATTAGGGGAAATTGGTGGAAAGGTAAATAGTGATTCAAAAGTTGCCTGTGTCCGAGGTCACTTGTCTGGTGTATTCATAACATGGGTTTGAAAATGAACTAATTTTAATGCTTTCTGCCAATAACCAATCCAACACAGTTTTTATAATTCTTTTAATAAAAAATCTGCTGCTTTTTTTTTGTAGTAACCGACCGGGGCTTCAGCTGGAAATCTACTTAATTAATTGAAACTGACTGCACACATCTGGGACTTTTTCATATCTAAATAAAAAAAATTTTAATTGAAGATTTAATTTTGTCCAGTTTAAAAGATGTTTTTTTTTTATTCAGTGAGAATTCCAGAGTCAAAAAAAACTAATTTAGACTACAGATGCATAGATAGCTATACTGCTATTTTGTCCTGATACCAATGTTGAGTGTTCATACTTGTGCTTGTAAAAAAAAAACTGATATTCTGAACTGATACCACTTCTATATTTGATAAAGATTACAGTATCAGAACCAATAAGTTTATCCTAGCTGCAGCTGTCAAGAGGCCCCTCCCTGTAGTAAAAAAGGCTCCTCTACTGAAACCAAGCTGCACTGGATCCATGGTAAAAGTTGGACTTTTCTATCCAACAGAGGTTTTATTAAGCACTCGTATTAAAGTATTGGCAAGTACTAAAATTGATTAGAATAAATCTGGTATGGGGACATCCCTACTTTAAAATCACTTTTCATTTGCCACCATTTAAATACACTGAGCTGAGTCCCTGCACTCTTAAAATAAACCTAAACAGCATCGGCTTTAAAAACAAAAAGCCAAAGGTTGGTACAGTTACTAGATATTTTCACATGTAGTTTCTCAGAGATAGAAAGCCTTTAATTTGCTAGTTTCAAATAGACATAAAACTATACAGAAACCTGAAATACCAACATATTTGGTTCTTCTGTTTATACCACAGTTCCATAATTAGTTATTGCCTTTTGATTTTTAATCCAAAAATTGACATTATCCTTTTTAAGTTGAACACACTATAACCAAATTTACCTTAGATTAGCACACCACATCTTAAAGTCATTCTTTCATTATAGCACATCTTGGTTAAGCTTAGCATAGCAGAGTTAAGCTTATCCTAGCTTGGCAGATTCTTGCTTAACTTATTTAAATTTTTGCATTCAACTATCTAAAGTGTTTAGGTTAAATAAAGATATTGCCTGAAATTAGAACTGGAAACTTTTCCAGATGAAAATGCCAATCATGACAAAATTATTTTCTATTCCTCTTTATTTTTCCTCCTATTTTATAATTTCCATTTTCTCCACCTTAAACTTGAGATTTTACCTTTATGGAATTTTTAGTTGCACACTACACTGTAGATATTGCATGTTTATTTTTCCTGTTATTACATATTTTTTTTTTTTATTAATACCTCATTTACAGCCCATAAATCATCCAGATGTTAATGGAGATGGGTGGATTCTTTTAAAAGATCCCCACCCCATAGAAAGGAGATCAGTCAGACAATGACAGGAAAGGCTGTTCTGTAAACGTCTCTGATTAATAACTCACTTCATCAGCGTTTTAATTCTCTGTCATGACACGGCACTTTAACAAAAAAACGAAACAACAGAGAGCGATATCTTGTTTTGAACGTCCTTGGTTTGTTAAACAGCATTGTGCTACACAAGTACTGAAGAAAACCTGCAGAAAACTATTTTTGTCCTCTTTCTGGCAGGAGGAAGATACTGAATTAGAGAAAAGGGAAGCAACCTCTGTGGGCGACTGGCCATCTTTGCGCATTTCAAGGTTCACCTCTTGCCATTTAAAAAAAAAAAAAACATCCTACAACATATAAAATCCCAGGTCCCTCTTGGAAAAGTTGCTAGTAAATCTTACCTTCTCTTCCGTTTCCCCATTAACAACAGGCTCTGGAAGAGGACCTGAAATGAAAAACATCCGCATAGTTAATCGTACAAATAAAAATGCCTAAATCAACTATTAAAAACAAAAAAGACACCTGTTTATTGCAAACATCATCAATCTTTAGCTTTACCTTCCATCTCACCGACCCCCCAATTTTTTTTTTTTATCCAATGATCCCTTTTTAATATATATACATAAACATATATTTTTTAAGTCATTTAAGACGTAAGCCTTCTGATCTTTTTCTGCCTATGTATGTTTTTGACCCGCTCTCTTATAGAAATCTCTACATGTCCTAACAGGATCAGCCCCGGCCTGAGCGACTGCTCAAAGTGGGCACTGTGGAAACCAAACAAAGTGCTGCCCAGCGATGCTGCTTGGAGACATGCAGCAGTGTGTGTCGGTTTGCCGTGTGAGAGTGGGCAGCGTGTGGAGAGCTGGCAGTTACCTGGGAAACACCTCGCTGGAATCCTTCCCCTGAAAGGAAGATTATTATTTCTAACTCTGGACTGGGCAAACTGTATTTCTTACCACAGGAATATAGAAAGTAGCCTCAGGTTAATAAAAGGGTTTCACACTGTGATAACATTGAATAAAAACGAACAGAGATTCATGATATGAACGAATAAGTATCAAACAAAGGGAGGTTGGTTATTTCAAGTGCTTTTTGTACTCATTATGACACGTTTTTAACCATTCAGCATTTTACAGAATAGACAGAGTCCAACAAGATGATGTTAGAGGATTAAAATATCTAATCCAGCACATAAAACAAACATTAAACCTCTTTAAGTATTGTTTAAAATGCATAAAATTTAGACTTAAACAACTTTTATTGTTGGTTTGTATACACAATACAAATACAAAACGAAATTTCATTTTGTACAGCTTTTCATGACACTACCATTTCTTAAAGTGCAGCAGTGATCAAATGTTAACAGTTTGGGAGAGAAAACATGGTGCAAAGAAAACGCATTGACATGGAAGTTCAGAGCATTAAATATATATGCTGCAATTGTGCAGAGTTTTTGTTTGGTGTTTTCAGTTTGATGCAGAGTCTGTTATAAGATTTAGAGTTTTCTGAAACTCTAAATTAAACCTAGATGTACCATAATAGGGATCAATGCCAAACAGAAAGGTTTATTGTGAATCAAAAACACTGTATAGTATATCTGAGCTTAAAAGACAGACACTACCTGCTGCACTTAAAATTTTTTTTTATACAAAACTCATTCTGAGACAGCCATAATTTAACAATATACCAATAAATAACCATAAAACACTACAACTGTTGTATATAAAGCAGGGATAGGCAACGTTGTTCCTCGAGAGCCACTGCCCTGCAGCTTTTGCATGCATCTGTGATCCAACACACCTGAAATAAATAAATGGTTAATGGCCAGGCCTCTGCTAAACTTACCGACATGCCAAGGAGGTAAATTAGCTTTATTTTTCAGGTGTGTTGGAACAGGGATGCATGCAAAAGCTGCAGCACAGTGGCTCTTTGGTAAAGACTTTGCCTACCCCTGCTTCATATCCTACTTGTGTGGTGTTTTTATGGTCGTTTATTGTTAAATGCATGCATCTAAAGCTTGTGAATGAATGAATGAAGGAAAGAATGAAGCAATGAATGAATGTCACCTCGCTCTGTAGATGCCGGATAAGAAAACTATTCGCCTGATTCAGAGGTGTTCAATGTAAAACATGCAGAACACCGCCCCTTAAGGACGGAGTTTGGATGTATCTTATGCACAAACCCTAATGAGCTTCTCGAAGCTTAGCTAAAGCACAAAATGATCAAACTATGCATTAAAGCACAGTTTCACTTGAACCATGCTTACCATTCACTAAGGGACAACTTGACCAAGCAAACGTATAGGCCTTATATATAGAGAGAAAGAGAGATTTATTTTTATAGGGTCCTTCTACTTTAGATAAATGTCATTTTGCTATTTAAACCTCTCTGGTTGCTAATTCTTTCACTGCAATAAGGTGGAGGCCTGTTGATGCCAGTGATGTTTGGGACAAAGTGGTTCTCAGTCTCTTTATTAAACTCTGAGATACAGACATGTTGACTGTGTAGCTCTCTGTGTGGTGTAGGAAAGCCTTCACATTAGAAAATATTTTACCAAGAGCCCCCTCTAGTGGTTTTGTTGGGTAAAACGCATTTTGGAATAGGGCCTGATTTTCTTATGATAAAATAGAAACAAAATGTATTTTGTCTTGCATGCAAGGACTCACAGAAGAATGTATATTTTATTTAAGAGAAGTACTCTGCAGCATTCACCTGCAGACTGAGGATACACTGTCAGATTAATCATATAGTTTTTAAATAAAGTATTTCTGGAATGACTTTGCTCTGTTGTGCTCAAGTGGAAAAAAAAGTCTCATTCCCGAAAAAACATAAGCAACCAGGTAAGTCGGGAAAAAAAAAGTCTGATCCGCCTGATCTGATGTATTTATATTGAAAAGATTAACTTTCCCTGCAGGGGGATGACATTAGAGGGGCAGTAAGTGGCTTATTGTCTGTGATCCTGGACAGAAGAAGGAGAGAGTGGAGAAAAGGAAAACAAAAAATATAAGAGAGGACAGCCGAGGAACAATATTGGAGGCATTAAAGTGGCGATAAATTCAGCTGGTGGACAGAAACATTACGTGCTAATTACACTCATTCAATCAGCCACTGCTGCAGCGGATGGTGAGCGGCCTTCTCACCATTTAAGTGCGCAGAGGTGGGGGTCACCCTGCATCTTTTGAAGAAGGCGTCGGTGTCTGGGTCCACCACCAGCAGCCGGGTCACGTCTCCTCCCGCTTTAATGGCGGCAACAACCTCTGAATGCGTCTTCCCCTCCACAGACACACTATTCACCTGAAGAAGATAAAAAAGGATCACTTTAGATCTCTTTACTTTGACTACACAAGTCAGAAATAAATCCTGCTTCTTTTTTTTTCTCCCTCCCAGTGCGATTGTTCCCACACAGTTAATCACTGTCAGGACTTCTTTTCTCAATATTATCAAGCCAGGAAATCCTGTGTCCACACACAGGGGTCCTGCACACATTCCTGCGTTTATTTACTCTTTTTTTTTATTCGCCTTAAGAACTGCACAATCATCACGTTTTAGCTTTGAGATCAGATTATTTTTCGGTATAAATCTCCATGGGAAAGCATGTGAGAAATGTCTCCAACCATGTGTTTGTGCTTGAGCCTTTAGGTCACAGGGTGGACCTCCACGACTGAGCTCAATCCTGCGGAGGAAGCTGGACAATAGCGGCTTGGCCAGTAAGAGCAGTAACAATGGCCGTCCGCTCCTCACAAAGCCCCTCCGTCCTCAGTGGGTGGCGTGGCCGTCTGGGGCCCTCTCAGGGAGTGGAAACCTAACTCAAGACTCTGAAACAGACCGTTTAATCCGGCTGCTCTTCCTTTCATTATCTTTACTGTATTGTTTCTTTTTTTTCTTGCAACAGACCATCCCTCTGACTTAACCCTGGAAGAGGGACAAACCACATAGCTTCTTTTGTAGTATTGTAAATTTTTTTAATCTCCCTTCCAAATAGTCTGATATTCCGTTTCTATGTAGAGTTTTCCAGAAGCTTCTTGAGTTTTAAACATAACATGCACTGAGGACTCTCAGTGTTCACAGACCCATCCTGCCTTTACAGGGTATTTATGCTCCAGGTAATCTCACTTATATTTTGTAGTAAGTTTCATTTCATTCTGATGGTAAGTAGCATATTTAAAAAGCTCTGAAAATTGCATTGTACCATATATTAACATATAAATGAACTTAACTACTGAAAAAAGGAATACCTACAGGGCTACCCTGCAGAAAGACCCCCACAACATAATGCTGTTACATTCCTGCTTTACGGTTGCATAATATTCACAGCCTTTCCTGTTTTTTGGGTGGATTTTCTGTAGTTTTTTCCAACTGTAACAGCTGCCAATGGGAAAGCAGAGGTCCTCCGTAAGCAGACTTCTACCGCGAGTGGTTCGAGACAGAACGACAGCGAGAAAGACGGACATTGCGAGCGCAAGACAGTTTGTGTGACACCCTCATTATGGAAAACAAACGTACCGGTTTATAAATGGGAGCTTCTATTGCACTAAATTGTAACAGTTAACATATGCATATATGCAAATTGTGTTGAAATGTTAATAAATAGGAGCTTCCCCAAACAGTTGCCTCTTTCCCAACAATCCTCTCTGTGCACGAACCATATGGTAATTAAACATAAAAAACCTGCGGCTTATACTCCGCTGCGGCTTGTATATGCACAAATCATGCAATTTAGCTTCTGCGGCTTATATTGAGGTGGGGTTTATAGTCCGAAAATTACGGTACATAACATTCAGTCATTCACCTATTCAAACACACTCACACACTGATGGTGGCAAACTACAATGCAGCCACAGCTGCCCTGGGGCTCACCGACAGAAGCGAGGCTGCCGTATACTGGCGCCACCAGTCCTTCCGACCATCATTGCTTCATCATTTTTCCTTCTAAGACCTCAACTACTATTTAAAAAAACAATCAAAAAAGGATAACACAGTTACTGGCACACAAAACAGTTTTGAGGTTTTTCACTTTAAACTGCTCAGTATTACACATCTAGTTAAGAAATGATTGGCGCTGTAATTTTCTAACCTATCCGTTGATACCAGTCATTTAAACACTGTCTCAGTTTCATTTATTATGTTTCATTACAGATAGTTTTCTGCTTCTGCTTCTAGTACATTTAAGACTCTACTGAATATCGGAAAGCCTCGTTGAAGTTTCAAAATAAAATTTCATTAAATGACCTTTGCTTCAGTTGAGAACAATTAATGCTGGCTGATAAAAAACTACATACAATCATTTCCACACATGAAGCTGGCAGATCACAGACCATAGGGAATATAAAAGGCTTTCAATCTTAAACCACAGTAGGTGAGGTCTGATTACACAACGCACACAATTCTTCTCTATTTTTGTCTAAGAAACCTCAGGCTGACGAGAGCGGAAATATGCAAGACTAATCAGGATACGCCTAGGGGAATGTTTTCTAGTCAACTCTAAAGTTCATTTCTATGAGAATGAATCTGGATGTATCCTACCAGACATCTTCTTAGTTTTAATGATGTCTAATAAAGTCTCCATTTATTATCTGTGGCCGTTAAAAGCCCTGTGCAGCTTCAAAGGACTCCAGCCTTTTAAAACTACCTCTACTATCCTGTCCTTAGGCTGCAGGCCGGCCCTCTCAGCTGGAGAGTCTTCATCCACCGCTCTGATGTACTGGCCCGGCCGCGCCCGCTCGCTGTGCAGGTTGAAGCCATATCCATTGGACCCTCGTTGAATCACGCACAGACGTGGTCGCAGCTCGATGTGCACCTCCTGTAGGAGAAAACACACGTTAGTGATCTGAGCAGCAGGGGAGCAGCACCAGGTCAGTCCATGGATAAAAAGGAAATACCTCCACCATGGGTGTCAGTTCAGAGAGCACGAGGGGCACAAAGATGACTGACAGCTCCTGTGAGTCGTTTACCATGAATATAAAGCCGAGGGCGAACATGCAGCTGTCTGCTGCTGCATGCTGATGTGTTGTGCTCTGTATTTTCAACAATCAGGGGTAAACTTTAGCAGCCGTTTTAGGCCCACGTGATTCCGATTGCTCGCCAGGAAGGAAAGGGGGTCTATGATTGGAGGTCTGTGGGGAAGGTGTCTGGAGTATTTGTGAAGGGGGCTCTAAGGAAAAGGGACCGGTTCCGGAGCGGCTCCGAGAAGGACAATGGGAGCTGGGCGTCGACCACTGGTCGCCTCTCCCATCCTTGTCTCGGCCAATCCTGCGCTGGGATGGCAGGAAGAGTCAGAGCTGTATTGTCATCCAGGAAAAAAAAAAAAAAGCTTGATCCCAGAACCTCCCTTCCTCTGTTAGGATGAAACCAGTTTTAATTTTAGCTTTTCTTTTTGAAGGGGTGGGACTATGGTTGCGTCATCAAAGAGGACAGGACAAAGTAATGAGCAAAAGACAAGAACTGTAGATTGTATTAAGAGTCAAGGTGATCTCCACCACCACACCTGACCTTACACTCCCTCAGGCATAAAAGCAGCTGCTCTCCGACCCTCCCTTAGTAAATGCAACGCTTTTATGAGAAATCAGTGCCTCATTAAAAGCACCTAAAACCATCGACTGCACACATTTCACTACCTGAGGCAGCTTGACGCAACATTTTGTCCTGTAATGTAGAAACCATCGAGCTATTATCTCTTCAATATGTTATGTAAACCAGCAGTTCTGAGGTAACCATCCCCTCCCACATCCAAACTGCTCTGCTTTGCTCTGCAAAGAACCTAAAATGAGAAATTCAAAAGGTTACAGAGAAGTTGAAACGTTTAGAGGAAGACAGAGAAACTGTAAGAATGATCTGGAACAGTTCAAACACAAAGAGGGAAAACAATAAATACCACTGGAGGAACTGGTGGAAGCAATGGCTTCATTTCTTAGAAATCATCTAGTTACAGACAAAACCGGCCACAACAGAGTTGCGTTTAATAAATACGGATGTCTGTGACCCTTTGTGGGAACCCAACGGCCGAGTGAAAATGGAAACATGACGCTTTAAGGTCAGATTCCCTAAATATAAAAAACGTACAATAAAAGGGAACCTAGCAGTGTTGAAGGATCAGTTTTGTTTCTACGTCACAGAAAATATCAGATATCAGACAAAAATAGCCTGAAAATGTAGTTTTAAAATATTGATTTCCTTTATCAATATTAAAAAGCTTTTCAAAACTACTTAGCAAATAGTAGTAAATAACCGCAAAGATAACTCAGGAATTAACTGTAAAGGATTTCATCTTTGTTTCACGTTTGTCCTTTATGTCTAAGACAAATCTCAAGGATAATTTAATCTAAAACCAAACAACAATTTAAGAAACCAGGATAAAAGAACCGTAGATAGAAAGCTTAAAGGTTTAAACACAGAGCTAGTCACTGCTTACATGAGACACTATCCACTGTTTAGTAGCTTTCCCTTTTGATATACTTGAAACAATGACAGCATTTTAAAGAGATAAAAACATTTTATATAAAGGCTTCATAAATGTCGATCTGTTTAATAAGCATTGCTATCTATCGGTGTGAACAGTCTTTTAATTGCTAAAATACCAGTAATCTAAAAAAAAAAGGCTTGAGTCTTAAGATATTTCTTCCCTTTTTAAAAAAAGATTTTTCCATCTGTTTATAACAATTTAGGATGATAGATGAATTAGAAAAGGAAACTAAATCTAAATCTGAATGCTAAATGTTTTTCTCTAATCCGTGAATAAATATACTGTGATTTAATGTTTTAATTTTTAAGAATTCTTTAAATGTGTGGTATTTTTCCTTGAAACTAAAACATTTTTTTTTTTACATCAGGGCTGTTTTCAGAATACTGCCTAAGTGGAACAAAAAAATTCATCCCAAACGATTATATGCAAGCGAGTGAAATAAAAAAAAACAAGTAAACACTCAAGCATGTCTGTAAATTATGCCTATAATTGTTTAAAAATTTAAGTCTAAGTCTACTGTTACATTTGGTTACTGCTGCACCTATGGAATGGAAATGTTCATTTAATGTCTTAAAAGCTGTACTGAACGAATGTCGTTTTGTTTACACTCTGTTTATACACGTTGACAATAAAAGTTGTCTAAATCTAATTTGCTAGATTTAAATATTTTCCTTTTGGATTATAAGGCACTTAATGTTCAAGGGCCAAAATGCTTTTTTGAGGAACTTCCTCATGTGTGACTGAAGTGTGAAAATTAAGATTAAATCCAAATTTGCATTATCGCAAGCATAAAACGTTCCGTTTTATTGTTTGCCTTTTATTTTGATGCAAAGCACTTTAGATACCTTGTATATGAATAGTAACTTGCCTTGCCTTACCCTTAGAGTGCAGATGTAAATTACAGAGCCAACAAAAAGGTGGAGTCTGCTTTAAATGCTTCATTTTGCATCAGTGGATCGTTTTCTACGGTTATTGATGTTCCCCAAATGTTGCAAGAAGCCTCGGCAACATTTTAAAGCTATGTTTAACCCAGTAAAACCATCTCTCTCGTGAAACATTAAGACCTTTGATTCACTGTTTGCTGACATCTGATGCCATACGTGCTAATCAGCCAAACCCTCTATTCTCACACCAGTGTGAGAGCAGTATGGGTTTCACTGCATATACTTTTTGTTTTTGTGCTGATTTCTCTTTCACGTTAGGAAGTTGATCCAACAGGCGGAAGCATATTGAGGAAAGATGTGTCGACAGTTCCTGTGCTTCACTTCCCCTCTTTAAAGAGAAAGTCGGAGTCCCTGCAAGTGTGTTCATTTAAAAAAAACATGTTTTAATTCTGGGAGGAACGCTACCAAAAATCTGAACATTTGACTTTGATCTTTCATACAAATGCGGCAAATGTTGATATGTGAGACGAGATGTTAGGGATTATTTTCAAAGCTTCCTCCGATATGCAGGGCTTCACACGGCTGGGAATATGCTGTATTATTCTGAGCCATGTTACAAAGGGAAATTAGGGATTTTCACAGCCTGTCTGTAGGCTTTGCATAACCAAACAAACTCTGAGTAAACAGCGTAAGTTGAGGATTCAGTCTGTTTTCCTTCCCCATGTCGTTTTCTTTCACACGATTTAGGGTCTGGGAAGAAAGCTGAAACAAGTAAAATGTCAAGGATTATACAAACTCTACTGAACTGAACTAAACTTGGGCCTTGGCAGTCAGTAAATATATGCTCTTCTCAGTGTGATGTGCACGGATTGTCTGTCCTTGCACAAATGATTGCTGTTATAAGTCAGTTGAATCAAACTCAGTTAGCTTATTTCCTCTGAAATGTATCTACTATTGTACATTTTGTGTTTGTCATGTTAAAGCACTGAACAGTTGATGTTCGATAACATTTGCCAGCGTCTTGGATTCCCATCTCGGCTTATGTTTGCTCAGCAGATTCCACAGATTGCCGACCGGCGTGAAGATTCCTCGGCCCTCCACTCCCCCATGACACAGACCATCCTCTGTTGTCCTTGCAAGGGTGCGTTGCATCGTCTTCACAGTCACAGGGGTGCCTAAAATCATTTGGAGCGCCCACCAAATGCCAAGAGTTCAGTGCCATAGTAGTACTAATCTATCTGCTTTAAAGATCTATTAAACATCTGCCTTTCTGGGCGTAACTATATCAAAGTCTAATAATAGGTTCAATATGATCAAAAAACCGTGTACGATTTGGAATGGGAAAAATTACCACAAAATTGCAAAAAAATCAGTTAAAGTGGGAGGTTTTGAATAGATAATAGTTTCTACACATGGAGAGATGCAAAAACTATTCTGTAAAGGGCCAGTTTGAAATAGACACCCTGTCAACTACCGCTGACATGGTTATTGTAATGGTTAGCTCTTAACTAGATCATAAGGTTGAAATAAAAGCAGCCCAATGCCTAGAAAAGCACTGGCGTAGACCTCCGCCAAGCAACACATTTTCCCCCCAAATTGTGACTTACACCAATAGATAAAACTCACACATGATCAAGAAAAGCTTGAAAATTTGGTTTAGGCAACTGAGGCAAGTTTTCTAGAAGACATTTCGCCTCTCACCCAAGAGGCTTCTTCAGTTCTAACTGCTAATTGGGAGCACTGAGATCAATATACTGTAGGTGTAACGAACATTTAGGGGAAAAAGAAAAGGTGGTTCTGTCACATGCCTTGTTGAAGTGTGAGGCAGGTGAGACGTCAATCTTCTGGGTATTGTTCCTAAAATGCTTGTAGTTGGGTGAAAGGTTATGTGTAAGACCACCTCCTCTGTTGAGAGATGTTTTTTTCCAGGTTAACAAGGATGGCTTTCTTAACCCCTCTCTCAAACCATCTCCCTTCGTTGGCCAGAAGACGGATCAAATTTAAATGAATTTTCCTTGGCATGAGGTGCACCTCTGGTAAAAATGTCATTAAAATCCATCCCAAATTATTCAAACTATCCTGTAAAAAGACAGAGAGACAAACACACACACATTCTCCTAAAAATATAACCTCCTTGACAGGAGGTAAAAGCTTAAAATAAATGACATCCAACAAATAAATCCACAGGAGAATTTCTTTATGGTCTTTTTTGTTTTGCTTTGAACCCAAATAAAAGAGAAAAGTTATAACTTTTACATTAAGAAGAATAAGAATAATCATCATAAAATCATATTCTACTATTCTTATAATCTATTTCTCACACCAGATTCTCCATCTCTCTGATAGCATCCTGACAAAATGATGAACTATTTATGCGAATAGTGATGTCACTTAGAAACTAAATGACAGCCTGAGGCAACTTTTCTCACATAAAACTGAGACTTTTGGGCGTTAGCA